CGGGGGTGATGCGTGCTTGCTCCGGGGCCAGGTTTCCATGAGCTGGGCGCGCGTGCTGTCGATGGGTCCCGTTCTCTGCCCGCGGGCTCATGGGGACTCTTATCACCATTGCATTTCCATAACCGGTTTAAAAAAAAATAAAAAGAAAATTGATGACAATATTCATGCTTTTGGACGCTACCAGGGCCCTGAAAGCACCCTCGGGCTGCCTGGTCCCCCCCCCCCCCCCCGGGGGGGGGGGGGCTGATGGCTGTGGCCAGCGCTGATATGGTGCAGCTGTAGCCTGGGAGCAGCCTGCTGGGAAAGGAGCAGGATGAGAAACAGCTGGGGGAAACTTTGTCTGGGACCTCCTCCTTTGCTCAGGAGCTGTATTTAAGCTCCAGTCCTTGGTCTTGGTCCTTGTTTGACCTGCCTTGGCTAAATGTGGGTGCCTTCAGCAGGCTTGCTCTGGTGGGGCCATACCCTGCTTGGTGAGGTGCTGGCCGGCCTTGCCGTTGTCCTCGCCTTCTCTTTGTGGCCTCTTTTGGCGGACAGGTCTTTTTTTTATACTGATGAGATTTGAACAGCAGCCCAGAAGGCTAGTGAATACAGATAAAAGTATAAAAATACTCTGCTGCAAAGTGGAACTTATTCGGTGGCTCCTGCGTTTGCACCTGTGAGTGCTGAGCATGTGTCCTTGTGTCAGTCCTTTTCCAGAGATTTGTTCCAGCGCTGCAAGTCACATCAATGTGACCAAGCGCATAAGCTTTGGGAGTTCCCGCTTGGTAACGTAATAAGGAAGCGAGTGCAAGGAACACAAAGGAAAAAAATGATCTTACTATTTATGGGTTCTTTAAAAATTATTTTGGCTTTGGCAGGCAGATTTTGTTGTTACATTTTTAGCTCAGAAGTCTCATGTATGTTTGTGGCTGGTGGCCAGTGCTTGGATATTAGGCTATGTTATCCCAAGGGAAAGGCTGCAAAATGGGCGCAGGTCCATCAGTGCAGAGGAGAAGGAGGGTTTGCAATGCTGTGCCCTTGGTTTTCTTGCTCGTTATGTCGCTGCAGCTCAGCTCTGAGCCCTTGGGTGCACAGGGGTAAATAAGGACTCCCTGTAGAAGCGCAAATGCAGCAGGAACTACAACAGCCTGGAGGCTACAGTAATGGTTGTAGAGGGGGCCCCTGTGACTCTTAGGCTTTAGAAAACATTTTAAGCTTTTCTATTCTTCAAAGACTACCCAGCACAGAGATTGAGAGTTTGAGCTTAGACTGTCGTGTGTGACTCTGTGGAAAACAATTTGGTCCTATGTGCAGAGCAGGATGTGAGAGAGAGAAAGTGTGACAGTGAGTCCTCCTTTGCTGGTGCAAAGAGCAGAGTACTTCCATCACAGCCCTGCCACTTGCAAGCATGTGGTTTCTGGCATCTGGGTTTGATGTAGGCCCAGCTTTAGCAAACAGTGAGGAAATTCTGTCTGTTGTGGCTGATTATGCTTCCCCAGTGTAGTCACAGGCGTGACCCTCAACTCCTCTAAATTTGGTAACCATCCCTTTTCCCATCCCTTGGCTAATCGCTGTCATCCCTCCTAAGTGAGGGACCAAATGGTAATAGACTTTCCTGCCTTGGATTTGCTTTTTCCTTTGTCCTACTACTACTATGACTATTGTCACGCTGTAAAACGCACAACGTGCTTTGCCTTGCAGTCACCAGAAAGCTGTTTGTTTGGGCATCTGAAATCTATCTCAGAGTTGTTTGTTTTTCTCTCCTGCAGTGTTCATATTTATTGATCTTTTGTGGGTAACCAATTCTGATGGTGATGGTTGCTGCCAGAACTGGCTTCCTTTCATCTTTTCACTAAGATAATTATTTACCTTAATTGAATCAGCAAGTTGAAGAGGTCTTTTCTACTTAGATGGCTGGGTGGCATGGTATTGGTATGTGTTGTAACTTTGACTTCTGTAATGACAGGTTGCAAGGGTCTTTATGAGGAGTTCAGATGAAGGACTTTGACACTGTCCCCTCTGTTAGCCAAATGCAACACTTTTCTTCAAAAAAAGGTTTCAGGGGCTTAGCACTGCTACAATGTGAAGGGCATCCAGACAGATAACCTTCAGTGGCAAAACTCAGTGTCATGCTGGCAACCCATGGCTGTCAAAGTCACCAGGCAAGAGGAGCTGCCCAAGTTTCTGCTCCGGCTAGAGAGGATGCCATCCTGGTTCTACAGCTAGATTCAAAATCCCCGAGCTCTGTTTCTGCCAAAGAAAGGTCACGTTGTACGTTTCTGCTGGCCAAGAGCCATCAGCGTGGAAAGAATGGGACCACGACAGAGCCTTGTCAGTAAGCGTCTAACCAACTCAGTATTTCCTCAGATGATGAAGTAAAGAAGGGTTGCTGCACTCAGTCTTTGGCAGGCTATCTTGCTGTTTGTAGCAGAGGAGTGAAATACATAAGTCCATCCTGGGGTGACAATCATCAAGAGTTGAACATTGGGACGCATTGCGTCCTTTCTTCTACATGCCCCTCCTAATTTATCAAGCCTTCATCATTGCCTTGCAGCCTGTGATGTACCACTGCTCTCTGTCTGCTTCCCAGGCTGAAGAATGGCCATGGACTCTTCCAGCCCGCAAACAGGAAATGAAATACCCAGGCAGAGCCCCAGCCCTGGTGACACCAGGAGATGCTGTCGAGTTTAGCAAACTTCTGTGAGTAAAAATGGGGTTTGGACAGTCTGACATGATTTGAGATTGTCCTGAGTTTTCAACTTTGTCCCTGTGGGGCTGCGTGAAGGGCTCCTGGGGCAACATGAATTCTGCAGGGCAGGCTGCTTCTGTGCAACTCTCTCCAGAGACTGTGGGGCTTTCCAAGCCTCGCAGATGTGCTGGGAGAGGGAGGATGCTCAATATGATGGCTAGCGTACAAAGATGTGACTCCTTCATAAATGCTCTGAAAAGCTCCACCCGTGCATGTGCTGGCATACAGATGTGTCCAAGCAATGACGGGGTGCATGAGGATTTGGGTGTGCACGTACAACCTGTGTGTAGGGCTGCGTGCTCCTCTAAGCATCCGCACCTCCCTCTAGAGCGTGTTTTCCTGCATTCATGTCCTCATGTTTCTTTGTGCTTGTATCTGGCTGTGTCTTTCTGTACGGAGACTGATGCGCAGCTCTTGTGTTTGTGTGTGCATCAGTGGTGGAAAGCCAGGCATGAGTTCACTGACGCAGTTCCTCATTTTAAGTGTGATCTGAATTTTGCAGCTGACGCAGCTCAGTATGCTCATGTAGCTGTGGGACCTCTGCCTGCCAGTCGCATTGGCGCTGCAAGCTGGTCAACCGATCTCATGTTACTAGGCGGTGGGAGAAACAGGATGGTAGTCTCCTTGTGCCTCATCTGCTGGTGTCACAGCCTGGATTTGTTGATGTATCGCATGTGGTGCTTTGCATTTAGAAGGGAAGGGCTGGAGGGCTGAGGTCCCTCGGGTAGCACTGCATTTAGGCAGACCTGCCTATACAGGAGAGGGAGCGGGCTTGTGCCTGGTTACAGTGCAGCAGCCTGCTCGCGCCGCTGACTGTGGTTAGGAAGCTCCGAACTGGGACATAAACAGACGTGAAATTCCTTGATCCCCTGGGTGGGATTTAGCAGCATGAAGACTTGCTTTCGTGTGGCTATCTGGTGGGTTTATCAAAAGGTGGTGGGGGGAAAGCCAGCTAATAAACACTATTGGTGCTTTGAATGTCTCTTTGCCTTTAGCTCCTAAAATATTGCTGAACACATGTTTACAAACGGGGTGCGAGCGTAGGGAAATATATGGGGAGCGTGCTAGGCTCATGACTTCCCCCTGTGTGCTGGGGGGAAAAAAAAAACCCAACAACTTCCCCACCCTACCGCCCCAAGAACCCACCAGGTGGATGAAATGTCCCCAGGTCCTGCCCTTTCACAAGGAAGGACAGCTGAGAGCTGGTCTCTTCTCCAGCAATACTTGCTGAGAAGCAGACGGGAAGCAGAACTGCTTAGAAAGCTGCTCCCTGGCACCGAAGGCGTTTTAAGCAGTTGATTCGTTTCCGGATGGGTAGCGGGTGACTTCCCTGCCTCCCCGTGGCAGGTACCCTGCATCGCTCTGTCTCTGCAGCCATGGGTGCAAGTGGGTTGGGTTATGTGACTAAGCACTTCATCTTCACGTTGCGGAAGTGCGAAACCACTCCTGGATAAAAGCCAGCAAGATGGGTCACAAAACACTTCCGAGGGCAGGGGATTTGCAGCCTCCATCTCTGCTGCCTGGAGGAGGGGGAAAGGGGGAGGACAGACACACGCTTCCTTTCACAGCTTCGTACCAGTGCCGCAGCTCTCGCAGTCTAGCTGCTGGGGCCGCTGCTGACTTTTGGGCAGGTGAGCGAGGATGTGACCTTCCTCGGGCAGGGGGCTCCGGGTGGCTTGCACAGTGGTCCAGCCCCACCATGCCCCGTTAGGGCATACTAGGCTACTCTCTGACTTTATTTTCTTTCCTCTGTGTCTGCCTTAAATGATGGTGAGGACTTGGAGCCCTGCAGTGCCGCTCTGTCTCCTTTTCCAGCAAGGAGGTCTGTTTTATCTGCTTTGTTCCTGTCTCACGCTTTCTGTGAACTCTGCTCAGTTCCTCCTTTGCTCCTTGGCTGCAAGGTGACTTGAGTGTTTTGGATTCTCTGAAAGTAGCATTTTATTTTTTCTGAATGTGGCAAAAGTAATAGTAGATTACTTACTAAGAAATGAAAATGTGTCTAAATCAATGACATATGATATTTATGTCCTGCTTTGGGGCCCCCCCCCCAAACCTACAATGAGACTTCCTTGACTTTCCAGAGGGTAAAATCATGTGCATTTGGCTTTATAACTTAAGACCTCTCTGCCCGTTATCTGATTTGTTTAGATAAATTATTTCCTGTCCAGCTTGTCAGATAGTGACGCCAGAAAGTGCTGGTCCCCGGCAAAATACTTTAACCCTCCTTCACCGTCAGGAAAAAGGGTATCAGAGCTCTACCTTCTCTAGACACTTGAGACCCCACCCGATTAACCTCTCAGTGTCAGGAAGAGATCCAGAAAGGCTTCTGTTCAGGTAGGGTCTCCTAATTGCATTTGGAGGCAGGGGAGGATTAAGATGGGCTCACTGGCTATTGCAGTCATTGGATCAGGGACTTTACAGGCCCGTGTGTGGCTGCCATCCAAAACCGAAGGGGAATGCCGGCGTCTGAATGTATACTGCATTTACCACCGAGGAACTGAAAACCTTACTGGCCTGCTTAGGTGGCTCATAGTAGACTTGGCATAATTTTTATAGCAAGAACTTCCTGGGTTCTCTCCTGTCCCTTTGTCAGCACGGCCAACGGTGTTGTGCACTTTCCCTAAGGAACCACTCAGAAGCCCAGGCCCATGCAATTCACAGGGAAGGCCTGTCTGCAGTGTTGGGAGTAGATCAGAAAAGGTAATGATGTGTATGTTTGGTTAAGCGATAAAGTCATGCTTCTCCCCAGGCTGTAGCTCTCTTGACTGACACTAGCATTACTATTCTTGGTTTCCCCTCGCACAGATCTTCCTAACATCAACTGCAACTGGAGAGATTTCATGGTTCAATAAACAGGATCTTCTCTTTATTAATTAGGTGAAGACCATGAAGCCTTTACCTTGTGCGTTTCATCAGCCAAACACAGAGCATCCCCACACGACGAAGGTGCTGAGCACTCTGCCTCTCCCACCCTTCAGCGAGATCCCTGGGCTCAAGTGAGGAAATCGAAGGTACGAAGCCCTCCCTCTAATGAACATGGAGCACACAACTCAGAGCCAGCTGGAGGCATCGCCCCCTTCGAGCACTGAGACAACAGAAGACCTTGCTGCAAGGCTAAATGTTGCTGTGAGAAATCTTGAGATAGAAAATGTGAAGGAGCTGCTGGAGAAAGGGGCGGACGTGAATTCCAAAGCAGGCTCAGGCTGGACGCCGCTGCACAGCGCTGTGCAAGCGAACAACGAGGACCTGGTTCGGCTCCTGCTGGAGAAGGGGGCGGATCTGCATGCCAGGAAGGACAATGGTGGCACTGCCTTTATTGAGGCAGGGATAGTGGGAAATGTGAGGCTGTTGGAGCTCTTTCTTGATCATGGGTCAGACGTTAATGAGTATGATGACAATGGCTTCACAGCTTTCATGGAGGCTGCTTGGTATGGGAGGGAGGAGGCCTTGAGATTCCTGCATAGCAAAGGAGCAGATGTGAATTTGAGGAGGGTCGTCTGTGAGGAAAAAAGGAAACTAAATAAAGGAGGTGCAACAGCACTGATGGATGCTTGTAGGGAGGGTCATGTCTCAGTTGTAAAAGCTCTGGTCCAAGAGATGAATGCGGATCTGAACATCCGTGACAACCAAGACAGGAATCCCTTGATCCATGCCCTCAAGGAGAATGATCGCAACAAAACAGGGGAGTCTGCTGCCTCTATAGGACATTTCCTGCTCGACTGTGGTGTTGACGTGAACAGCAGAGATGAAAATGGGAAAACTGCCCTCATCCTGGCTACAGAAATGAAGAGCTTAGATTTGGTGAAGGTTTTACTGGAGAAGGGTGAAGCAGATATTGATGATGCAGATGATGAGGGCAACACAGCACTGATGGTAGCTGTAAAGAAAAATAATTATGACATAGCAAAGTTGCTATGTGAAAAAGGAGCAAGGACTGATGTTGGGAACCTTATTGAGGAAGCAAATAGGAATCGTGCTTTTATCCTGACAAGTCTTCTTCTGAAACACAAGGCCAAATTTGTTGCAAAATCCCCTACAGACTGGGAGCCATGCAGCAAACGCTGGAGGGACCGCCTGAAAAAGCTTTATGAAATATATCGCCCCATGATTGGCAAACTAAAGACGTATCAATATATTTACTACAGGATTCAGAACACTTCCCAAGGTGGCATCTACCTAGGGCTCCATGGTGACACAGAGGTGGCAGTAAGAATAGGCCGCCACCGTGATACGGAGGATGACAAAGAGAAAAGATTCCTTGAACAGTGTGGCAACTGCAAGCATCTAGTGAAGCTCTTTCAGTACGAGAAGGCAAAAGGCTGCTTGTATTTGTGCTTCCCTCTCTGGGAGAAAAACCTTGAAGAGTACTTGCAAGAATCAAAAGATGAAACGAATTACAAAGACATTCTGAAGATGATCTTCCAGGCAGTGAGAGAACTGCACTCGCTAGGATTTGCTCACCAGGATCTGTGCCCCAGAAAATTTTTGATAGGTTATCTTTTGTTTTCTTGGTGTTCTCATCTTTTTTTTCCTGTTGCCTATAGCTTAGAGAAGAGGACGTTTCACAGCATTCTGTAAAATAGATATGAAAACACAAGTGCAGATGTCTTTAATGCCACAAACGTGTCATTCCACATAGCTCTCTTGTTTGAATAAGTATAGATGCGTTCCCAGAGAGCCACGGAGCAGTGAATAGAACAGCTTTACCTGTCTTATTAGGCCTACCTGCCTTTCCAGGGCTTTCCAAGTAGACCAACCCACAGCAGCTCCCTCTAGAGATTTGTTTCCTAAGGAAGGAGCCATCCAGAAGTCAGTGACAGACTGTATCAGGGTTCTATACTATTTGTTAACAATTTCTCTTGTTTCCTCAGATTTAAATGACAAAATTTACCTGGCAGATTTTGATAATCGAAGACAGTTGATTGAAGGCAAAAAGGAACTTGTAAACTCAGACCTAAAGGTAACTTCCCTCCAAATCAATGTATGTTTCAAGTTTCAGGCTAATTCTGACTTTTTCTTTCCTTGCAAATCCCAAGGGAAAGCTTTCTGTATCCTCAATTAAAAATACCTTTCTTTTTGGGAAAGCCCCTAAAGCAATAGACTCTGCAGAAGATGTAAAAACGGCTGCTGTTGGAGCACCCAACAGCAAGCCTTGTGAGTACAATTACGGGCCCTGCCATGCCTGTCTGTGTACACGCAGCTTCACAGATATCTGTGTTCATGTATATATCTTTATACTTGTGTATGCCCATAGGCATGTGCATGTGCTCACATATGCAGACTTTTTATTTTGGAATGTTAATTTCTTCTGCTTGGCAAATGGAATTCATATGTTCAAGAATTCATATATCACGCTTAAGTAGTGATCTGTTTCTTTGTGTAGGCCCTTAGCAGGCTTGTGCAATATGTTACAATAGGGGGTAAGAAACCCTTTGAGAAAATCAGCACTGAGGATTTGGCTGCAGATTCCCCTGATTACGAGGAGGCTCTGGACCTTGTGGAAAGCTTGGACACTCATGATGAACGAGGATTGGAAGGTTTGAGCAAACACCCCTTTTTCTGGAGTAAACAGATGTAAGTCTTGGGAGTACAAAGGAAAAGTTTGGAACTGGAAATTTGCCTGTAGCTCCTGGAAATGATGTTCTATTGCAGCTAATGAAGCTTCTGATTCTACAGCAGGTTCAATTTCCTGAAGAATATATGGAACAAAATCAAAGATTGCCAGAACCGGGGAACTATTTTAAAAAACCTTAATACTCCTGAAGAATGCAGTCCTTACATGAAGTGGACTGAGAAGGTAATCCTTTTCTCTCTGAATCTGAATGAGGTTGGCGTTAGGCATACAGGTACAAACTTTTTCTAAGTGTCACAGGCCCTTTCTAAAACCAGAACTAGATAGAGGACCCTTGTGTATGTACCGATAATTGGGGGAAACAACTAAGTCTAAGCCATGTAATCAAAATCAAAGTAGCATCACTGTCTTCAGTGCCATGTCAAGGGGGCTTCCATTCACTGGGGTGAAGCACTTTCATAAAAGGCGTGATAGACATCCGAAAGTGCAGCAAATATGTTCCCAAATGACCGGTCCTTGTCAGTTGTGCTTGGTGGAGCTGAAGGCTGCGGGAGGGAAGGGGAACTGAGGTGGATCAAGTGAGGCAGAGGCGGTTTTGGCACCATCACAGCTGGCCTGAGAACAGCCCTGAGCAGCAACCTGCAGCACAGCGGTGCCTCGCCAGGGCAGGGTTTGGAGGTAAGTTAGGAGGGCGAGTAGGCAGTGTCTGTGACCGCAGCCGGCTCCATGAAGCCTGCAGAGGGAAGGGTGAGTGCCAGGCTGCCTCAGTTTTCTCACCAGTACTCTCAGCTGATACACTTTACATAGTATAGACCCCGACAGAGTTGCAACCACAGAATATAAAGCTACTATGTCTGCATTAGCTGTTTGACTTCCCAGGTCAAAATAAGTGACAGTGCTTATGCCAGTGCACTCTTAATGCAAGCGTAACCGCATCTACTCTGTGACTAGGGGATGATAGTCGTAGAGTGAACTGGAGACCTTTAAATAGTGTCTATTGGTGACCCTTAAAATAAGGACTTCTGGCCCTTGTTGTTGCCAGCAAATTTCTGGCAGGAGTGTTACATTAGATTGGTTCAAAAGCAGTGAGATCAGGCCTGCTTGTGCAGGTAGCATCCTGGAAAAATATGCTGTGTATTGAGGTCTCAATCTCAGGGCAGTGTCATAGCCCACACGGCCCTTTCTAAACAGTGATGCAGTTGGACCAAGACTCCTGTATCCCTCCTGCCCTCCAGACATGCATTAAAATATACCATGCTGTGAGGACAATCCTAATAATGTCAAACTTTGGCAAACCAAGAGAGAAAGCACTTCTTGGAACTGGGGGTCTGCATGGCAAATGTCCCGCAAAGCACTCTTCTGTTCATGTTGGTAAATGTTTGAGAGTCGCAGGATCTATCCATGCAAGATGATCTCTCTGCAGAGAGAGCAGCTGTGGTGAGTGGAGGAAGATGAGATATTTTCATGGTGTGTGAAAGGTAGAGAATAATCTGCAGTTTTTGTTTCAGATTGACAAGGAGGTTCTGAAAATCATGGAAAATCCTGAGGGTAGAACATACAAATATGGGAAAGGAGTTGAAAACCTACTGAGGTTCATCAGAAACCTGGATGAACACCCACAAAAAAGGTAAACGTTCACATTCCCGTCCCTGCCATAGTTGCACTCTGGGGGGCATATGTATCTGCAAGTGTCAGCGAGCTTGAGGGCAAAAGCTTCTTCAGAAGGTTCTCCTTTTCTAGAAGGGTGAAAACAAAAAAACCAAAACCAACCCCCCTACAGGACTACCCTTCTTGAAGCAAAATCTAGTTCCCGGATCATCCCAGATCATACATAGCCTTTAAGCAGAGCATTCAGCTCCAGAGAGTTGGTGGTGGCTTCATTTCTGCCCTTTTGCCTTTCCAGAGCAACCTCCCTGTGGTGCAAAGAGTTGTCTGTGATAGCTGATGCCAGGTCATGTCTCTACAGCAGGGCCATGAATGTGTCCTTCCTGGGCTGCTGATGTTGTTGCAGGCTGGTCTTTTCTGCCGTAACTCCAGGAAGGCTTCTAGATCACTTTTAAATATTTGTGCTATTTGTTATCTTAAAAAAGCCTCCTTATATACCTTGCTGATATTTCCAAAGAGCTCCTGCTTAGTATACTGAGGTGCTTTGAGATATGGGTCAGGAAGCACCAGTCCTATTAAGAGATCAAAATTTTTATTCTCACCCTTTTGGGTAGGACTGGACTCCCAAAGAGCCACCAGACTCCTCTGCTCACAACCCTCTATAGTCATGGATGCTTACATCCAAGGCTAGCTATCTCCAGCTGGCACGGTAGTGTCAACTCCAGATGACTGTTTCACTGAGGCTGGTGACCACCACCACCGTTCAGTGAAGATGTAGGTGGAATTAGGCAGGTGGAGGTGTTGGAATAGCAATACATGGAGCGTAGAGCTTAGGCAAGGCATAGAAAAGTAGCAGCTCAAGGCTACTGGATTTCTAGGAAACCGTAACATGTTTCAGAAGCCTCTGGCATGGCATTTTCTCTGCGAGGGAGGAGCTGGGGCATCCTGGACACTTTGACTCCTTGGGCAAGCTTTAAAATTCCATTTTGTTCCTGTTCCATTTCAGGATCAGCAACAAAATAGGGGACCACGCTGACTATTTCTTGAAGCTTTTTCCAGCACTGACCATTGATGTCTACAACTGCTTGCGCAAGAATCCCAGGTTCAGTCACCTTGCAGATATCCAGGACCCTTCTCTGACTTAGTATGTGGTGTTGCCTCACGTCCCATGGCTGATCCCATTATCTCTGCCTCCTTTTATTCCCTGTTTGCGCAGCTGTGAAAGAGTTGACGAAAGTGGGTAAGGAGATGGGAGGGAGTGTATGTTGGGACAAAACATGGGAGGCTTGCACTGCTAAAGCATCTTTCTCTTTGAGTATCTGGTGTGACAAACATAGGCCTTGGAGAGGAACCAAGCTGAGGCCCAGCCCAGGTCCCCCTTGACTCGTTCTGTCACTCGAGGCTTTTCTGCCTCTGAGGTGGAGATGAAGGCCCTGGTTCTTACGGAGAGCAGGGAGCTGTGGGACAGAGCGCTCATCTCAATACACGTGAGAGGCAGGAGAAGAGCTCAGACAATCAGAGACTCTCTGAAAAAGGAAAAGGAGCTAGAGCTCCTGCTAGGGCCAATATTCCTTGCAGCTTGCACTCGTACCAGCAACTTGTATACCCTTAGGAAGCATGAGTTTTTTTCCTTTTGCTCCTTTTGAAACAGAATAGCCTAAAGTGGGGATGCTCAGACTGGCTACAGACTGCTCTTGGCTTGTTAGCTGTCAGATCTGGCAGAGGCATACGCAGTGCAGCCTGCTGGGAAGTGAGGGACTTTTACTGAGGGACTTGGAAAGTATCTCTATGAGGAATGGATGTAGAGAGAGTGAACCCTCAAAACTCTGCTACTGCGAGTAACCCTGACTCACCTGAACAGGATAGGATCTCTGATGTCAAGGGCCTGCAAGGACTCCTTCCTCCTGTAAAGGACAAGCTCAGCACAGTGCCCTTTAGAGATGGTATCTGCAAGGCAGGGCTTTGCACAAATAATCCCTGTCCCCAAAGCATGGGTGCTGGGGCGTCACTGTGGCCCTGTCGGGGATAGTTCCCTCGGGCAGAGCTGGTACCCATACAGCATTAGTATGTAGCTAGCTTAGAGCTTTGATGTCGGAGACTGGATGGCATATATCTGTTTTTTGATATGTATCCGAAATCTTATGACAGTCAGTGTGTGGACCCGTTTGTCCTAGGGCTTGCTTGTTTCTCTGTTCGCAGCTACCTTTCCTTGCACTCTGAGTTGCACAGTGGCTGCATGTCGCTTATGGAAATGTTTTTCATGTGTTGACTGGATTTTTAAATTTTTCAAACTGAGATCGTTAACCTTTCTATTACCTTATACAGAACTAAACTTGGAATAAATTTGCCTGGAAAAATGACTTTTATTATATTAATGAATGAGGTCCCTCCTCCCCTCTGCATAGAAAGACTGAATGGTTTGCAGCACTATAAAACACCCGAGAGGCTGGGATTTCTGGCCTCCCTGTGGAGGTTGTTTCAGTAGGGTGGTGGAGAGTCTTGTCACTGCTCAGATAAATTGCTTCTGGCACACAGGAGGTTTGAGGGGAAAAGGTATTGGGAAGGATTTGGGGAAGGGGAAGTCAGTTTGGAGCTCTGGTATGTATTTAAAACTCCAGCAATTCATTGATCCAAACAAAGCAAATTCTACAAGGTATTTCTTTACTTTGAAATTATATATACCAGAAAATATTGAAGGCTTCCTGTCCCTGGAAGCATGCTGTCTCTTATGGAATAATTGGCCAAATCGTAATTTTTGCTTCATTTTTCTTTTGCAGGGTGGGAGTTGGGGTTGTGGATGAGGTGGTGTGTATATGAGCAATAATGCTTGCCTGTGCGTGTTTGGGCACATGCCAGACTTGAGGAGTGGATGTGTTTGTGACCCTATCTCCTCTACAAATGAGTGGCCGTCGGAGTGTATCAGTTAGCCCCATGCATCTGTTTAAATATGTGTGTGGGGTGCCAGCAAGAGGAAAGAGCAATGATGCGTTGCAGGGAACCTGAGGCCTTCTTTGGCAGGTTTTATTTATCTTTTGTCCTTCTGAGTTTTGGTTTGCAGGCAGTGACTGCTTTTTGGGAACCGACCATGCCACAAGTGACTGTGGGTGCTATGAGTTTACACAGACTGAAAAAAGTGCAAAATCAGAAGACAAAAACCTGCTAAAGACAATTAATCATCTAGAAAACACGTCTGACTCAGGAAGTCCAAGAACCTCAGGTGGCTGGAGACTGGGAACATTTGTCACGTACAACTACGGGCTTCTGTTCCGCTCTTCTGTGCGTGCCTGTTGTTGGTCAGTGTTGGAGACAGGCTGCTAGCCTGGATCGGTGGTACTGGTCCAGAGCAAAGGTTCTTCTGATGGTCTTAAGAACCTCTCAAAATGCATATATGGAACAACAAAAAAACTTTCATTTAGACTGTTGGTGAGGTGCCTTCAGAGAAAATGCATCCAGGAGAATGTTGGCACTGTAGGAGAAAAGAGGCTGTAAAATATCCCAGTTCCACCATCTGGCTCTTCTTTCCTCCCCTCGTTCAATACCATTTTTTTTTCCCATTCCTCCCTGCTCCGTTTCTTTCATTATCCACCTTTCTCATGCCCAGGACACCCAGAGATGTGCAGCCCAGCCTCTGTGGAGCTGCAGCACGGGGAGGGTGAATGCTGGGTGCTGTGCAGCAGCAGATGTGAGTGGAGCTGCTTGTGCCCTCCCTTGAGGAGAGGTGAGGCTGTGGGGCTGGGCTCTTTCAGTCTTTGCCCAAATGTCATGCTTCAACCTGTGTCATGCTGTTTGCTTCAACCTTTGCTTCATCCTGTGTCTCTCTGCTGTTTTGCTAAAGGCTTGTGATATGACAGCCTGAAAAGGCTGCAGAAAGTCCTTCCTGAAGGCAGAGAAAGCCCAAAGATGCCTAAAGTGAGGAATGATTAAATCCATGGAGGCTGAGATGTGTCTTTATGGGACAGTCAGGCTGCTAGAAAGAATTTCTAGGAAGGTTTTTGTGGCCTGTGGTGCAATGTCTTGCTTCCTGGGAAGCCAGAGGTGTCAGCAGGCTCGTGTGGGAGGAGAAATTTGCTTCGTGCAAGACACCTGCATGGCTTATTGCTAACTGAGTGTGGGGCTGCCAAACTGGGACCGATGCTGGGGAAAACGCTGCCCTGCTGAGTGCAAGATGTGGCCGGGGAGCAGCCTCCCTCCCCTCCTAGCAGCGCACTGGGGAGATGGGTGAGCACTCGCTGAGGGTTGGGCCAGGCTGAAAATGAGTGGTGAGGCTGGCTGGGCAGTACTGCAACTGGGCTGTATTGCAGTGCCTGGCATCTTGCAGCCTGACAGGCACAGCCTAAGGGTAAAAGTGTCCCCTGGGGGCTTGGAGCAGGAGCCATCTGTGCTAGGGCTGGGTGATGCACTGGTGGCTGCCAGCATCAGCGCCCGTCTGGGAGGTATTAGTCTTTTGCAGGCAGACTCCCAAACTGCACCCACAGTGCCCAGGGCATATGGATTTGGCCCTACGTCTTGCGTTCCCCTGCTATTGTGCCTGGATGTTGTGCATTTGCAGTGTCTTTTCTTTTCCTGCTGGGTGACCCTGGGGCAGCTGGCTGGCCTGAACCCAGGTGTCATGGGATTAGGTGCTCCCTAGTGTCACCTGTGTGCTAAGGACATGCTTGTGTGCACAGGGATGACCCCTGCTCAGTGTGGCGCCTCATAGGCTGCGTTGGAGAAAAGTCTGCAGAAGCAGTGGCTGGGTAGGGTGAAGAGTGCTTCTAGCTGCAGAATTGCAGTGATGAGCTTCAGGCATATCTGTGAATCCTGTCCTGCTGGTGGGGACTAGGTTTGGCTGGGCTCAGACTGTGGAGGCCACATCTGTGCCCTGGTAGGTCTGAAGCTTTAGTGCCAAGGACACAAAAACGCAGCTAGCCTTGTGGGCTGAAAGCTCTTGGGGCAAAATCATATTGCAGTACACGAGCAATTTTATGAGGAGCTGGTCAGTCTTACAGCTGGTTGTAAGAAGCTGATGCAGCTCCCAGGGAAGTCCCTCATTTATGAGGAAAAAAAACAATGGGTTTTTCCATCCCCCAGAAGCAAAATACTGATAACAACAGACAAATATGAAACCTTAATGTTTTTGCTAACTCAAATGCACCTGGATTGTTGTTGGAATGTAGCTTTCTAAGATTTGGCAGTTAAAAGGTAGGTGAAAATAGCTTAAATTACAGACCTGAGAGCTTCCAAGTGAAGGTAAAAGGTAGCATGATAAAGGTCACAACCTCTTCTTTGAGCTCAGCTCTCAAGTGCACTTTGGATTTCTGCAGCTTCCTGGTGACTTGGCAAAGCCACTCTGCCTCCATTTCACACAGGAAAATGAGGGTGTTTAGTAAGATGTGGTTAGTGCTCTGAAAAAATAGATCTACTGGATACCAATTTAAAAACATGCCAAAGCCCTGAGTCAGACGTTAGCTGAATTTGACTGGCTGCTCAAAGGCTGTGGTGAGACTGCTGTGGTTTGACTTCCCCCAGGACCGCTGAATAGTAAAGAAGTGCAAGGGGACCTTTAAGCTTCCCATCCGCAGGAGGTATTTTGTTTTTGTAGGAAGTCAGGAGGGGCGATGAGCTAAGCCAAGGCTGTAAGCCTGTGATCAGGGAAACAGGAATGAAGCCACACCAAGCAGGAAAGCAACCCAGATTCTCAGTGAGAAACACGGTAGACAACTGGAGCTGGTGGTCTCTGAGGACACCCTTCCTCGGGCAAAGTACTCACTGTTGCTTCTTTTTGGCTTTAAGCACAGGATGGTGTTATAGACGGTGTTATAGGTCAGCTCCCTGCTCGTTCAGGGCTTTATCTAAGCCCTCAGAGGTCTAAAGCAAGCTTTCCAAAGGTGTGAATTGGCTGCCTGATCTGGCTGTTAGTCTTGCACAATGCACTTTGCAAATTTCTTGGGAGAAGACCTCAAATGTACCCTTATGGTGTACACCCCGTGTGACTTATTTACTGAGTCCTGGCTGTGGGCACTGGAGTCCTTTACAGCCGAACGTGAGGAGACGTGTGCGCAAGGGGACACATCCTTGGGAAGAAATGTGTAGAGCCGCATCGTGCTGCGGCTGTGGAGAGCCGAGTAGCCTGCACTCCGCCTTACTGGGCAGACGAGACGCTGTAATAAAAAGTTGCTCTTTTTTTTTTAGGTGCTATTGATGATTAAGTGCAAATTGCACAGTGTGTCTGAGCTTCCCAGTTTCCTTGGAGCCCATCCCTGCCCTGCCCAGCGGGGAACGTAACATGAGGATGCCTGCCCTTCCCTCTGCCCCTGCAGACAGGGGGGAAGCGTTGCTGCTGGCGCTGCTGCCGGAGGCCTGGCCAGGGCACAGGTGACCGGGGAGCCTGGGCTGCTGTGAGCTCCCTTAGCCTCATCTGCACTGGGATCTCTGGCAGCAGTGGAGCTGCTCAAGCACGTTTAAGCATCGCCTTTGTTAAGCTGCGCTGTACAGAGATTTTAATCTATGGGCGCAGTGAAGGTACAAAGGTCTGGTCGGGGAACAAACAACACAGTGACGTGCTCCTGGAGTGTGTTTTCGGGGTGTGGAGAGGTGCACCACCTGGGGATTTCCCATGTATGTTACTTGGAGCGACTGCTGAGAGGTAGGAGCAGGAACTGCCCACCTAGAGGTGGGGGACTCACCAGTCCCTATGCCAAACCTGACCTGCTGGGCAACACAAACACACCTGACTTCCAACTGCCTTTGGCACTATTGCTTATTTTCTTTACAAACTAGTTCAACCAAAGACCCTAAGGGTAGTGCTGTGTAAACAAAGGCTTGCTAAGGCGAGCGGCTCCCGAAGGACACCTGGCCCCAGTGCAGCTGTGTTGGCCCCCCCATGCGCCTGTGCGCTCAGCAAGAGCCACTGCCTGCACAAAGGCCAACGCTGCACACAGAGGGAAGGCCAGGATGGCTTAGACAAACTTCTTAGCTACATCTGGACTCTGCTGCCTAAAGGAAAAAGGAAAAGGAGCGTTAGACAGTTGGACTGCTGGCCCAGCCCAGCCTACACAGTTACGTTGGAACAGCCACAGATGTAAGAAAATACTGTCCAGACCCATGCAATGCTAGTGGTGCTGTGGATACTGTCATTCCTCAGATGTGGGATGAGCTTCAGTGCATCCCGACTGCTTTCTCCCACTGTCCGTTCTGTTTCCATATGTTTCTCTCTAGATCCTTTGGGCTTTCCTGTGTCTGGGAGGCCATTGTCTCTTTAGCAGCCGCTTTCATCTGGGCTGGCTCCAGGGAAACAGATGCAATGTGAGCTACAGCGAAAGTTTCCCTAGATGCCAGCCAGAATTGAGGGCCTTAGTCCTTTGACTCTTATGGGATCATCAGAGTCCACCCATCCCTTTCATGTGAACAGAAGTGGTGGGTTCTTGGCACCCCTGAATGTCTGGTCTAGTTTAGAGGTCAGGATGTAATGTCAGATTTTTTTTTTTTCCTCCCCTTGTTCCCTTCTATCAGTCACTCCACTGACTGTGGATCTGCTGGTACCCATGGCACAAGATCAAGGTGGGCAGCAAGGCAGAGATGTCTGTACTCTGGTTACGTCCTTGGATCTGCCTGGAGATTGTGGGGGTCAGCCAGCATCCTGCACAGACGCCCCCCTCCCACCGCCCTGCCTCCAATTGCCTTTAGGTTTTAGAGGAGAGCTATTGCCCCTCTGCCGCTGGGTGCTTGTGGCCAGTGTGAGCTGCCCCAGCAGTTACCCACCTGCATTGCAGGACAGGAGATGCTGATATGCCAGGCAACCGCCCTTTCTGAAGACTTTCATTTGAAGCTGAGAAAAATAGAAGGTGCAAATTCCCCATCACGGACTCATGGAAGGGAGCCTTGAAAGCCCAGCTCCCATCCCTGGAGGGGGACTGGAGAGGGGGGAACGCTGGTTTCTGCAGCTACTCACTCTTCTGCTTCTTGGACAGCTCCTTTTTCTCCCGAGCCTGTGGCAGCAGGACCTGGATCCCATTCAGCAGTGTGAACTGAATAATCGGGCACTCACCTGGTGAGAGAGAAGAGGAAGCAGTGTGCTCAGTAAGTGGGTGAGCCCCAGCGGGCCTGCTCCCTCGCTCTGCTGTCCAGAGTGAGGGCCTCTTCAGCTCCCTCCCACGAGGCAGAGGGCAGTGGGATGCCTTCTTCCCTTCGAATGAAATAGCTTTTGGAGACACACGGATACGTGTGTACCCAGCCATCCCCTGTGCATGGACGTGCTCCCAGCTCTGCTCAGCTTTGTGCCCGTAGGGGTGGGCTTCTCCCAAGAGGAAGCGCTATGCCCATGCACATTAACTGTGGAGTTCAGGTAATATGTCCAGTCTCAGCAGGGACCAGCCCCTCCACTCACTGCCAGCGGTATAAAGCCACAAACAGTGCCACAGTGACGCCTGGTGACCAGCTGGAAGATGAATTCAAGTGTGGCAGCCTATTAACTGTGTGTGTACCACTCTCCCAGGCAGGAAGAGTGGTGTCCTGCCCAGCTTCTGTACAATGAGCCAGCCCTCGATATAAGACAAGAACAGGACACGGGCAACAGGAGGGCTTTTCTGGAATTAATAGATATTTTTCCTAGCAATTTTAATGCCTTATAAAGACCTCAACGTAACCAATTTTAACCAATAGCTGAAAAGCAAGCTCCTTAAAAGTCAGAAAAGTGAGGTTCTCAGAGAAAGGTCATCAGTAAAAGCGTTCTAATGTTCAGAAAAGTCTTCCAAGCAAAGAGTGGCACATGCATCAGTGCGCTCAGAAGCAGCAGCAATTTTTGGATTGCATGTTGATTTGGTTTGCTCCTGGTAGACAATAAGGATGCTGCAGTCGGAGTTGGCCTGCAAGTTGGCAGGTGACACAAAGCAGACGCCAGTCTGTGCTGTATCCCGCAGCTATTTTGGCTCTCGCATACCAAGGCATGACAGCATCTGCTCTTCTCACTTAGCTAGGCTGAGCATGAGAGTGACATCGGATAGGGCAGTAGAAATAACAGGTCTGAGAGATGACATGTCTCTTTCCATGACATGCCAATGGAGGCTGATGGACTTTTATCCACCTCTGGCTTTGGTTATTTATCCCTGCCAGGGAGCAGGTGCCACAAGGAATTGTGGCTAGGGGACAAGAGGTTGTTCCAGGGACATTCACTGCAGGATTAAATTCACTGTGAGAAAGATCACAGTCCCTTCTCAACGTCTTCCTGTGTTGTCTCTCTCCAGAGCAACACTTCAGTGCAGGCAGATCAGTATTTATCCTCTGAGGCTCTAGGTAGTTAAAAACAGACTGTGGTGCTGTGACCGTGTGAACGGTTGTCACAGTTTGCACTGACCAAAGCTCTCTCTCCATCGTTTTCCTGAAGACCCTGACAAGTGCTTGTTTATTGCCCCAGATAACACAAGGGATAGCTCCTGCGTAAGATGACAGTTCTGGCTTGTTGCTTGCTAGGAATATACGTCTGATGGGTGAGATCTCTCTCTTCTGCAGGTCAGTGACAATAAGGTTTTACATTAAAACAGCTATGTTTTAGATGGCCCTAGGAGTGCAGAGGGGAAGGCAGGGGTAATTATTTGTTAGTCTAAATGGGAAGTTAGAGATTTGTCTTAGAAATAATATGGATTTGTATTTTTCCTTAGCTGACATTCACCTCTTGGGTCAATATGTCTTGCTGTGTACCTCAGCACAGAGACTATATCAAGCCACTGTACAAAGTAGAGACTCATGCTGAACATTTCCTTTTATTGAGGGGAAAAAACCCAAGGTGTGAGAGTGGTTTAAGCTGATAGACGTGGTTTTGCAATTAAAATGAGGGAGGGGCACATAACCACCGGGGTCCGTTGCCCTAGTTCACCTGACGAGCAGTGACTCGAGCATCTGGCTGTTTATTTCTAAAACTTACAAGTGAGCTTTTGACCAAAACTTGACAGTGCTAAATTACAGGGAGCAGAACACCAGATATTTGACACCCGTTCTACCGTCAAAGTAAGATTAGTACGTACCTATTTTGATTAAAGGGAAAATGAAAAATCATTTCGTTTCCAGAGGAATATTTAGTTAAGGATCCAGGTTTTTAGGCAGAGTGACAGCACTGGATACCACTTTCTTTGTGTTTTTCACAGTTTAGCGTTCTTTAGTATGTTGAAACTAAACAACTTAGAGGACTGGGGCACCTCTCCTATGAAGAAAGACTGCGAGAGCTGGGCCTGTTCAGCCTGGAGAAGAGAAGATTGAGAGGGGATCTCATCAACGTGTACAAGTATCTGAAGGGGGAGTGTCAAGAGGATGAGCCCAGCCTCTTCTCCGTGGTGCCCAGCAACAGGACAAGAGGCAACGGGCAGAAACTGAACCACAGGAAGTTCCACCTGAACCTGAGAAAAAACTTCTTCACTGGGAGGGTGACAGAGCACTGGAACAAGTTGCCCAGAGAGGCTGTGGAGTCTCCTTCCCTGGAGATATTCAAAACCCGCCTGGATGTGATCCTGGGCAATATGCTCTAGAGGTCCCTGCTTGAGCAGGGAGGTTGGACTAGATGATCTCCAGAGGTCCCTTCCAACCTAAACCGTTCTGTGATTCTGTCTCTTTTTCCCTAGATACTAGCCTCTGTTCTAGCCAGTCCGTGTAGGATCTGCCAATCTACTATCTAGTGAACAGCCCCTCAAATCCTAAGGAAACTTCTCTCCATTCTAGCTGTTCAAAGCATCCTCAATGTAATGCAGCTGTGTCTGGCATTTGGCTGCTCGATTCTGAACAGTCTATTCTCTTTTTCCTGCTGCCATCTGATTTGCAATCCAAAAGACTGGTTGGTTAAACTCCTGTTTTAGAGGAGTGAGTATTTTTAACTTGATTTTTTTTGAAGTAAACAAGAGTTATGCAATTGTTCTTTGCTCATGAATTCTCTGCACCCACTTCCCTGTTCTCCAGAGAAAGATCTAAACCCGTTGGGCAATTTTCACTGAATTTAACAGGAGGGAATAGTTCCAAAGATGCTCCATTCTCCAACAGGCCTGCACCACATACAGCCTCAAAGCCATGTGAAAGGGCAGAGCACACTGCGCAGCGCTGGCATGGCCATAATGTTGTTATTGCTCGGTCAGCTGGCTGGCCAAAGACATGTTAGGGGATGTAAGGGCTGAGAGTATTTCAGTGAAAATTCATGTGGGACCAAACAGGGGAGGAGAAGCTCAAGTATATTTCAACTCAGTGGCAAGACTCAGTCAAACTTTTTTGGTTCTTCTCTGAGAATTACTTCCCCCCCTTTCCCCCCCCACCTTTTCTGGAAATGGTCCCTAGATAGGGGTACTAGAGCAACAGTTGGACCATCAGGTCTATGTCGCACAAGCAGCTTGTGTGTCATGAAAGAAGCACCAAGCACAAATGAATAGCAGCAGTAAGGCTGCTTCCAGCACTGGAAGGAGTTTAGCTCTTATAGGAGGATCCACAGCTGAAGTTTTTGTGGACTTTGGATTCCATGAACCTTTGTGGGACACCAGAAACCTAGGTCTGGAAACCTCTGCTTTGGAAGGACAGAACCGAGAGGACAAATGTTGTGCAGGGGGAACAGCACTCAGCTTACCTGTACTGTAGATGACGGATGATTTGGAGGAGGGTTTTTTAATGGGCAAAGAGATTGGCATCTTTTTTTTCCGGGAGACCCAGAAGCCCTTCATTGCCTTCCTGATGCAGAACCTGCATAAGAAATACTAAAGTCAAAGACAGCAAGCCTCCAAGCAGACACCTACAGCTGAGCTCCTCACGAGTGTCTCATCTGCATCTACACTGTGTCAGAAGAGGTTGCCGGAGAAAGAGGCTGGTATCCACACAACCTCTGCCAGTTCAAGAAAGTGGGATAGGTACCTTTTCCAGAAGTGCATCAGGATGGGGAAGATGACAATTGTGGCCCTGTAGTAGAGGCTGCGGTCCAGTATCTCCTTGGAAGATAAACTGCAGATTAAATCTTTCTGTGCTTCAGAAATGTTCACCTGGCCACAGAAGAGACTTCACTTAACCAAAGTAGCATGTGACACTCTTGGGACCCTAGAGGCATGTCCTTCTTCCTGACTTAATTGCATTGCAGGAGTCTCTAAGATGAGACCGGTTATGTCCTAGCTGATTGTCCTGAATACAAGGGCTGATCTTACTGTGCTGTGCTTTCCAAAGGGAACTTTGGCAGAGCCGTGGCTATACCATGGCATGCTGTGGGGTAAGAGGTGGCTGCAGTACGGTGGGGAGGGGATCATGGTGACATTGACATTTGTGGACTGAAAGGAATGAATCAGAGTGCAACGCTTGTTCCGGTGCCTCAGCCCGGGCCGTTTTCTAGCAGGGAGGTGATCTCACTGTCTCCATGCCCACACACTTGTTCTGAACGGGTCTGGGTCAAGTGTCAGCGAGGGTCTCAAGATGGATGAGTTCCCATCCCATAGAGCCCAGGCAGAAGTCCCTAGCTCTTAGAGCATGTCCCGAGACTTCAGCGCATGCTTGGCTAGAGCAGATTCAAACCTCTGTCTAGTTCTCCTTTCCCCACATCTGCTGGCAGCTGCTTTGCAATGTTCTTGAGCAATGCACACAGAGCAGCCTCCAGGCTTCCTGGGTGGGTCCCAGCATCTTACCCGCAGTTTGGGGGGAATATCGGAGTTCAGGAAGAGATTGCTGATGATGGTGACTTTGTTTTTGAGAAAGGCAACTTCGTTGTCTTGGTGCTTGTCGCAGTCTGCTAGAGCTTTAGCTGAATCAGCCAGCTTGCAAAACCTGCAAAGGCATGTGTTTGTGTCCTGCTCTGAGAAAAGTGCTCCCACTGCTAGGCTAGAGTCATGCTCTTGCTTAGTTCAGTGTTTAATAGGCCAGAAAAAGCAATCCATGAAGTGTGGAACAGTTCAATGGGAGGGATGAAAAGCCACTTCCCTCTTCTGTCGCCCTCTTAGTCACAGCATGCGCCTAGGGGATGTAATGTTTGTTCATCTTCAGGAAGAGGAGGGAATTGAAACCTGGTCTCATGTGCATGGGGGAGTGTAATAACTGCTAAGCTACTGTGCATTGGCCACAGCTTGCTTTCTGTAGGACCTGAAGAGCTTAGTGGAGAAATGCCCCAATCAGCATGTCAAGAAAGGCTTAGGTAAAATATTAGATTGCTCAGGACTGTGAAACCAGAGCTGCTTTTAAGATACACAAACAGAAACCCTTTCTGGTTGAAATGGAGGCCTCTTTGAGGATCTAGGGTAGGTGAACGTGAGCAGATTAGATACAGACACCTATGGTGGTAAGACTTTGATTGTGGCTTATGCTGCAGGGTGATGTTCAGATACAAGCCTTGCATAGAAGTGCTGATAGGAGTTTAGGTGTGGCAGTGCAGACCTTAAGTGTGTGCTACAAATCATTGGACTGGGCTTTATTCCCTGCCATGGGACAGGCACTACCTGAAGGATAGGTTTGGATTCCTGAGCCAAGGGAGACTTGGTAGTACCTGAGAACCTGGTGGAAAAGGGGACTTACTTGTCAATCTCCAGAAAAAAGTGCAGATCATTGACGAGAAAGTTGACAGTAATGAGCCGGTTCTTAAAGAGACGGCGTTTCACTAGTACCATCTCCTTGTCCTCCTTGTCCTCCTTGTCCTTCGGGATGCTGGCAGAGGTCATGTGTGAGTGCAAAACGCTTGCGACGCTACTGCTCCGTTTCGATCTGATGGGCAAGTCTGAGAGGGGAGAAGAGCTGTTGTGTCTTGCTTCTTCCAGCCCTGGGCTTGAGGTCAACTGGGCGTTTCGGCCTGAGGAATCTTGATTTTTTTCACCTCACCTGTGCTTGCTTTTCTATATGCAAATAACTTGCTGATGCTGTTTTTACCTAGGTGGACTACAGACTTCCTGCAGCGTGTAGGACTCTCCAGGTCAATTTGGTCAATTTAGACCCATTCAGTGTCCAGCCTTCCCCCCGGCTTTGTATTCTCCTCCCTCCAGCCTCCTCTTTACACTCATGAAGTGCTTATGTTCATTGTTTTCATGGAGGATGACCATAGTAGGTTAAATAAAGTCTGGTTGTCTGCCTAGCTAGTGGATAGGCTATATCCTGCCTCCAACAGAGGCCACAAGCAGATAACCAGGGAAACAGAAAGGGAAAACATCCGTTACTTCCCCCATAGACAGTACTCTCCAGCTTCCAAATATTTTCATACCCAGGGGCTTCTTGAGCTAAATGGGGGTTTCTGTTTATTTAGCAGCTTTAGTGGATTTCTTTTCTACCAGCTTTTCCAGTCGTCTTAAACCTGTGTAAAATTTCAGGATCTATATCCTTTGGCAAATCCTTCATAGGTCAGCTACCTGTGGCATGAAAAAGCATCTCCTTTTGTTTATTTCAACCTGTCTCACTAGAGCTTCACTTAGTGCCTCCTAGTTCTTGGGGAAGGGATGCAAACTGCTGCATTTACATCGTTGTTTGAGAGATGTGCAACAGCATCGTTGCATGGACTTAGAGGAATGAGGGGCAGCAGGCGGGGCAGTGGCATCAGAAAACCGGCTGTTGCATGCACATGTATGTTAGTGAAATTCTGGGCCTCATCTCCCAACTCCAGCACCAAAGTATTGGCATCTCTGGAGTGCCTGGAAGAGGGTGGCCACTTCTTTTCTATGCCAGTATTAGATGCCGAAGAGAGCACTGGGGTTAGGTGTCAAACGCCCACCTGCAGAACTACTCACCTAAGAGAGACAATCCCCTTTTTTTACCTCGTCTTCATCCTCTTTTCCATCCTCTGCTCACTAGGAGCAGATTCCTGCACAGAAATATCGGTCATCCTGAGACATCTGCTTTTCTGGCTCTGTATATGCCACCAGCAGAGGTCATGGGGATGGGAGATGAGCCATGAGCTTCCTCCATGTACCTTTTCTAAACCCAGGACTGTCTCAGAGAGGAAGGAGAGGAGGGTGGCAGGAGTCTAGACATACTTTCCTTTCGATTTCGTACTTCCTTCCGGAGAAAGTCCTCAAACTCCGCACGGGCTCTTTCGTTGTTCATTTCCCTCCGGAACTTGCAGATGCTCTTGACACAGCCACGAATCGCTTCCCAGGCCCTTTTCTGCGGAGACACAGCACAGCCCACCTCACCCCGTGCCAGAGCCCCAGGCAGGTGCCCAGGCAGCAGAGGACTGGGGCGCAATCTCGTGGCAGTAGCAATGCAGCTTGCTCCCAGGGAGAGTGGGGCTGGGGCAGAGCCCTTCCTGCTCAGACCTGCCACCATGAACTCTAGCACCAGGGCTCAGTCCTGCAAGTGGGATTTGTGACCCAGCCATCAGCTTTGTGTTTAAGTATTTCTGGGTTTGACTCAGGGGTTCAGGACTCTGAGTTTCACAGGAGATATTGTGAATCAATTGGCAAGTCCTGACTAAATCTAGTCAAGTCTGCACAGAGCAGGACTCCAGTTCCACAGCAGCACAGGATTAAAACTTTAGCTATCACCTGCCTTTTGCAACCCTCCAGGTGTCTTGCCAGTTTGACACCCCTCCCTCCCCCCCCACCCCAAGCCTACCCCTTAAGTGACTGCCACTTGATCAGCGACATCTTCTCTCTTTCTTGCCTGGACAACAGCGTTAACCTTCCAGGAGAGAGTCCTTCCTTACCAGGTCATCTCTCTTGAAGTTCCCCCTTCCACGCCGCAAAGGAAGGTGAGGCTCACAGATATCGTCTGGGGGGAACAGGTCCTGGTAGTCTGTAAACCTGCCAGATGGGGGATCAGAGAGAGACCATGAACGGCCGTCAGATACACCAGCAGGACAACGGCTTGGTGGAAGGGCGGCTATGGTGGGGAGGAGCTGACAGCGATCTCCAGGCTTATGTGGCTTGGGGGAGGGGGGTCCCCACAGGATTTCTGTTCATGGAGGAGGCTAGAAGAAGAAACCTGGGACTGGATCCCTTCCTTTGGTCTCTGCTGTTGTAGGCAGCAGGTTTGGGAGTGTCTACTATGCTCATCTGCAGCATGTCCTCTCCTCCAACCCAGGGTCCTGCAAGCACAGCAGAGATTTGGTCCTTATGGGACAAAACCTGCTATCCTTGCACAGATAGATCCATCACCAACCTCAATGGCAGCTAATAGTGTGAGGGCCTGGTTGGGATTTGGATACACTGGCTGACACTTAATATAGAAATATGTAACAGTCACTACCTGTCACTTAGGGGGTCCCATAGGAAGAATGTGTTTGTGCAACCCCTGGACAATTTAGAAACCAGCCTTGGGCAGCCTAAGCCAGGTCCTCACCATCGTTCTTCCATTGCTTTCTGGACAAAGGTCTGTGCCGTGATCAACATGGCGGGGCTGACTTCTTTGGCCTCACTTATTTCTCTGATGATAGAAGCACAGCAGTCCAGCAGCTCCTCTGAAAGAGACGCGCAGTCACTGCCTGCCCGCTGCTGCGAACTGCTCCTGAACTACCAAGAAAACTCTTCCTGCCCTTACATCTGCAAGTGGTACCCTGTCCTGTCTGTGCCCGCTCTATCTGCAGTTTGCTGAACTTAGTTGTCTCATCCTTTTTCCTTTCTGTACCATGCTAATTGCACACTTTGGGAGTGAGGCATCTAAAAGAGCATCTAAAGGAGACAAGGCAGGGAAGAGCTATTTCTGCCACTGCAGGTATTACAGGTTGCAGTTCTTGGAAAATGCTGTCAAAAAAGTAGGTGGTCTTCCTGGAAATATAGGTAGCAGTGGAAGGTCTCAGCAAACATGGCAGGTGCCTGCGTCCAGTTCAGGGAAAAAAGGCCTCTACCATGACTTGAGTAAAGCACAGGGTGGGAGGGTGCATACCAGCTGGGATTTTGGCATGGAAGTAGGTTTTGACAATATTGTTAATGAGGATGCGTTGCCTCTTGGGGTTGGTCTCTGCGATTTGCTTTTCCACAGCCAGCCAGAAACGCAGTGGGCCATCTGTGTTGTGCTCCTTGAGGAAGTGCTTGAAGAACTCCAAATGGGCAGGGTTGTGCAATACTTCCATGAAGTGCCTGCAGAGGAGGATATACGAGGAAACATGCTCTCTGTGCTGCCAGTGCCCTGGAAAAGAGCCAGGACCTGTAGGCCTCCAACGAGAGAGACTGCTGAAGAAGAGCTAGAAACTTGTGGACCAGTGGGGTACATAATCTGTGAAGCAGATGGACCAGCAAAGATACTGGCAGAGCATAGCCTCTCTTCTCTGCCCTGCCCATCTACTCAACTATTGGGAATCCAGGGTGGGATTCTCCTGACAAGCTGCTGCTTTTTTGCTGTAGGGGCACCCAACCATCAGCTTTGCTGCTATGTATGCAGAGGAGCTGGTCTCAGTCAGAACAGGAGGCTTTAACTGGAGAACTAAAGAGGAGAGAGGACTTTAGTTCTGCACTGCAGACCTCAGAACCTGCAAATAGACCAGGGCAGCTATGCATAGACCATGGGGAGGAGGAAGGTAAGGATGGGCTACCACGAGGAAGGACTGGTGAGAAGAGGAGGACATAGGGCTCCCCTATGATTCTTGCAATGAGCAAGAATTTGCTACCGGATGGTAGAGGACTTTATGGCACATTCACACAGTTAGCAAGGACAGAGATTTAAGTGCAGTCAAGGATGATCTTTAAGCACTTCTTTGGAGCTTGGGAGCTGCCCAGCTGTAGTATAGGTGGCATGTCAAAGAGGACCAAGATCTAGGACCACGTTCATGAGACACGCACAAGATGTGAGGAGTAAATCTGGCCTATGGGATGTGGGTGTGTTAAAACATTTTATCCTTTTCCCTCTTCCACAGTAACTCTACAGGTCACCCATGTCTACATCTGAGAGATCCCAACTCTGAAGCAGGCAGCAGTGTCACTACAGGAAAATACTGGGAAAAATCACACAGAATCACAGAATGGTTGAGGTTGGAAGGCACCTCTGGAGATGATCTAGTCCAGCCCTCCCCTGCTTCCTGAGAGAGTGGAAATATCAGAAAATAGCAAAGCCCTGTCTTGTAAAGTGCCAGACCTGGGTCTTACAGTTGGCTTCTCTAATATGACAACAGTGGGCTTCGGCACGTGTGTTTTGGTTCGGCTCACAGGAAAGGTCCTCTTCTTTTCATGCTTGAGGTCAGAGGCTGTTGAGACAGAACAGATTTGGCCCTTTCCTCAGATCACTGCCAGAGCCTGCTCACAGCTGTCCTCAGGCCAGAGGACCCAAAAGAAGCCCAGACTGTCTCCAGAATCACCATGCTGATGTCTGCATGGTGAGGCCAGCTCAGGAGATGTTGGATGCTGTGGGAATTCTCCACCTCTGCATGGTTTGATTTCCTCAGCATCTGCTTTGGAGAAGCCCTACTGTTCCCACCCTCTCTGGCTGGATTTACAACCCGAAGGACATGCCTTTCAAGGGTGGCTAGACCTCTCTCCTTCTGGAGACATTCTCCCAGATGATGGGGTGCAAGTGGGGAAGACTCCTGCTTGTTCCTGTCTCCTTAGGGTATGCTGGGGCACCTCCAAGGGTGTGCCAACTGTGAGCCTGTCCTGGTTCTAGCTTGCCCGGACGTGACTCACCAAGTGATGGAAATTTGAGACAGAAAAGCTTGTAATTCTCGCTTAGCAGATCCATAGCCAGCAAGGGATTCTTAACAGCCAGCTCATCGAATGTCATCTTCTGGAAATCTGTACAAGATAAAGGAGAGAAGAGGGGATGGATCCGATGTTCGTTCCTCCTGGCTAAGACAGCCTATGAGCACTTACTCAGAGCTGTATTGTGATCGCTACTCGCTCTTTTTTCCTCCTCTGTCCTGTTCCCATCATTTACTCATGACGCTGCATTTCTCAAGTATGACTAAGGCCCTACAAATTACCCAAGAGTTGCTACAGGTGGCTGCTGTCACTCTCACACTGACAGGCACCCAGAAAGTTGATGCCATTCTCCAGAGATGATGGGAGAAGACAAAACTGAAGTTTTACAGCAGGGTGGTCATCCCCAGGGGCCCCAGGAGCAGGTCAGGGTGTAGAAGTGTGGTGACAGTGGCTATTCCTGGCTTTGGGTTTAATTTTCTCTCTACTGCAGCCTTCATTTGACCTGGTGACCCAGGCCGGTGTAGGGACATGCCACGTTCTGCTTCTGGTGCTGACAAGAGGGAACTTGGTCAACAGGTCATGGCTAAAGCTTGGATTACTGCTCATGGCTCCCAGACACCCAGTCCCAACTCACTCCACATTCTCCATGTACCACCAACAAAACAGCCCCGTGCCAAAACGAAACAGCCATGTGCCAGAACTTTTCTATTTGTAGCACGGGTCACCATGGATGCATGAAATATGCTTTGTCTGCCCGAGCCAGTCTCGGCCCTGGCAGACATTCAGATCCTCCTCTTACCTATCCTGTACACCGGAGGTTCCAGCTCCACCTGGATCGAGCCCCCTTTCCGGAGGTCCTGAGTGGCAATTAATTGCCAGTGCTCAGAGGAGAGACTTTCCAAGTCCCTCATGCCATACAGAGCTTGGCTCAACTTCAAGGATTCATTTATCCGCTGGGCTAGGAGGAAATGTTCATCTTTCTCAACAGTGTCTCCTTGCATCTCGGGCATCGGGAAACTGCTCTGTGGAGACTACAGCAAGAAGAGCAAGAGGGTGATTACATGGAGCACATACCCCATCTGAGGAACTGCTCCAGCATAGCCGCTAATAGGCTAGCTGCATTTTGGCTGTCCTGCACGTTACAGAAAAAAATCAAGCCTGAACATTTTCAAGGCTATAGAGTGTCAGAGTTCAGAAGGTAGCTGATGATCTATCTGGATACTCTAGGCAATGCTCAGAGTTTATTATTTTCTTATGCCAGTAGTGCATGGAAATCCATATTGCAAGTTGCTGTACAAGGGGGCTTAGGCACTATATAGTCTAAATAACCCACCTACTTCTCCCCAAAAACAGGTGTCGGGGGCTGGGAAGTATTATCTCATTTCATACGCAGAAAAAGTCACTGCAGACTGTGTGGTTGCCCAAGGTCATGCATAGAGCCTGCGGTTTACTGCAACTCAGATACCACTGTCCACAGCACTCCTGGCCACAGGATTTTCACAGTTCAAGGAGCTCACCTAGTGTACCTTTCTCTGTCAGGTAGAAAAAATTCCTCCGTGAAAATAGCTGGTGACTAGGATATCTTCTGAAACAGCCTAAATTACATTTTATTAAGCAGTGGAATACAAATCTATGCAAGTTGCATCTCTGCTCTGGCTTTAAAATGCCCAAAAGAAATCTATGCAAGTACAAAGCTCAGCATAGGCTTTAAACCTGACCATGCAGCTGTTGAAAGCTGGCTCAAGTCTACCTGCAGCTGGAACATACAGGGGTATGCAGCAGGTTTCCCAGGTAGGCCAGACAGTGAAAGACTACAGCTTTCCTGAAGACTACAGCTTTCCAACAGGCAGCCAAGGGCTGAAAACAACAGAGAAGGTGTCAGCAGCAGGCAGGTAACCTCACATGCCCTTTGGGTTGGCTGCTTTCCCTGAGATGGGCTCTGGCCCCGGGGGGTGCCTCTCTCCCTCCCTGTTGCAGCCAGACTGTGCCTCTGAGACTCTCCTGCAGCTTTTGGCCCTTCACCGCTGGCAAGCACTTTGCATGACTTGCCAAGCAGAGGGGTCAGAGCGGCCATTTTCTGACTGAGTTATGTGCTGCTGAGAGCAAGCACCAAAAATAACCCTGCTAAGCCCCTGAGCAATTCCGCTGCCATCAGAGCGGCAAAACCCACGATGAGTTTGGCCTAGTGCATGGTGCCCTGGAGGGAGCACGGCCTCAGCACCTGCCGAAGTGCTAATTGCACTCCCAGATCTCGTCTGTGCTCTGAAAAGTAATGTTCTTGATAAGGGATGCCTAAAAACCTGGGCAGCTAATTAACTTACAGCCAAGAGAATTTAATGACTCAGGGTCAGGAGCCAATGGATGCTAAGTGGGGTTTCTGTAAGCACTTAGTTCTCGCTGACTGAGATGCTTAGATCTCTCCACAAGCCAGGTCTTTGGGTGTTAGTCCTGACTAACCCCACTGGCCAGTGTGCAGAGACTGGCTGCAGTGAGCAAAGCTGCCAGTACAGGTTCTGCAGGGACCCCAAGTAGGTGGGATGCCCTGGGGTTTCTGTTTGTGAGGCGGTTTCACGGTGTCAGGTTAGCGTTTAGGGCGTTGAGTAGTATGAGGCCGTAGTGGGATTTCTAGTGCCAGGAAGGGAAACAGTTTGGGAGATGAGTGCTTGTGTGACTCTGCTTCCTTAAACCACTCCTTTACACAGTGGAAAAAATATATGGAAAACTTGAGTGTGATTGAGTCATAGGCCAAAACGCTGCATGCCCTCTTCCCCTGGCATGTTGGCCAGGCACTGCTTCTGGGACAGGGCTGTGTGCATGTGTGTCTGCCCATGAGTCAGACTTACAGCAGTATTTGCTGTTGGCAAGGAAAAAAGGGTCAGAGTTTCTTCCCCGAAGTGTTTTGCCCGTGAAGCAGTTACGCGCCTGCGACACAGGACGGCAGCTGCCAAGGTGTGACAAGTTGTGGCCGAGGAGCCAAGGAACGTTGCTCCAAGGAGCTGGAAAAGGGCAGGTTCTGCCTTACTCCAGGCGCTGCAGCACAGATACCGTGGGATGTAGGACCGCTGCAGCGGCAGGGCTTTCCCTCCCATCCCTCTTGTCTTCTTTTGAGACCCCAACCAGTTCCTGCACACCCCGCAAGGATCCCCCCGGCCCCCACCGTGTCCCTTTTACCATAAACTGAAGGAACGTCTCATCGTCTTCAGCCAGAAATTCATCATAGAAGAACCCGAGCACCTGAGGAGGAGGTGAGGTGGGCTATCAGTAGTGTGAGCTCATGAGCCAGTCGGCAAGGGGCACGCAGCAAGGGAGTGCGGGGCTGGGAGCGGGCTCCCGCAGCCCTGCTCCCCTCCTGCTGCCGGGCGCCGCCAAGGCAGAGCTGAATGGGGCTCCCCGCTGCTGCCTCCCCAGCTCCCCGTGCCCTGTTTTGGGGCTGCCCAGCAACGCATGGGTTGTAAATGCTTTTTAATCAGGTTGTGCTGGAACTGGTGACTCGGCTGTGAAAGGACTGTTGCTGTCCCACGGTCCCCAGGCCCTTGGCTTGTGTGTCTAGTGATGGAGGTCACTGGCTGCTAAATGACTGCTCCTTCTCCAGTCCACAGCCTAGCAAACCCCCAGGGATGCTCCCCTCCGCTGGCCTGTCAGTAGAAGGTGACTTGTGACTAAAAGCTTTTCCCTTCCTGATCTTTCATCTCTAATTTTCCTTTCTGTGTTCCATTTCTGAAGTCAAGCACCTATCTTCTTAAACAGCCCCGAAGTCCTCCTACCAACCCAAGGAGAGGAACACCAGCAGTTCCCCTCAGCCTGAGCACCACCAGTGCTACTCTGTACCTTGCAAATCTCTTCCTGGGCTTTGAATATCCAGGGAGTGACTTCTCCAGAGGGCAGGTGGTCCTGCAAGTTCCTAAGAGTCCTTGTCTCCAGGGGAAGATACTGAACGGAGCCTTTTCCCAGGTAAGTCTTGCATATCCTCACCCCTATCAAATGACGCAGGAAGAAACTGCCTTCGCCGCTGGAGCCCAGCACCACGCACAGAAAATCCTCAAGGTCATGCCACAGGTCCAGAAGATGAGTCTCCACAGGTCGCTCCCTGCGCTTCAAGAACTCCCTGAAGGGCTGTCCTGCGCAGCCCTCAGCACTCAGGGCCCAAGCAAGTAAGCTAAAGGGGGAAGAGGACTTGACTGGCCTTTTCAGGCCTAGCAGGGATGGCAGCTGGACAACCGGTGTAGAGAAATGCACGTTAGAGAGCAATTGCTCTTCACAGAGCTCTTCCTGTTGAAGGAAGTGCTCTATGTCGGGGCAAGAGCTTTTGGGAGAGGTCTCTCCTCCTTTGTCTTCAAAGGCGGTGTTTGCAGGAGGTTCTGACTGCTGAGATATCAGCCCCAAAGCATTCTCACTCAGATATGATTTCTCTGTGTCTGAACTGCACAGGCTCCTGGCTGGCCCTGACTTTCTTTCAGATTGCCCCTCCAAACTCCTGAGCATCGTCATTTCTTGGGTGCCTTTTCCCCCTTTGATGAGAGTCCACATCTCCTCTTTGGCCTTCCTGCTGCAGTAGGGCCCTGACAAAGCCTGGCTCTTTTTAATATGCATAGTAAAGAGATCACTGCAAGAGCCTGTGGGCTGCTGTGCGTCAGCCTGTAATCGCTCCCGATATTCCTGCAGCAGAGGCCAGCACGATTTCTCTTTCTCCATGCTCAGCTTGCAATGAATGAAAAAGTTAGGGAGCCAGTAATTCTGAATCTTAAGCAGGGCTAGTGTCTGCATCTTGCCCAGGGTCTCCCTCCCGGTGCTCACGGGCTGCATGTGCCACTCGGTGATTCTCTGCACTGGCTCTGAAACGGACACAGAGGATTATGCGGGAGGGCAGCCCCAGGCAGACCTGTTTGCGCAGGTGGAGCTCCCCAGCCAAGCAGTATCAGTGATGGTATCCCATCTCTGCAAGGGAGCTGTGGGAAGGCTGGGAGCAGCCAGAAAAAGGGCAGACCCACTGAAAGGGCACTGCTCATCACCAGCGCTGATAGTCCTTACCCGTGGGTTTACTGCAGAGAGCAGTGACCCTGGAGCCTTCCCGCAGGTGTGTGGCTTTCAGCGCATGGAGCAAGGACAGGTAGAGCTTTCTCTGTGTCACGTCCGATTTGTCAAGCCCCAGGATCCTTTCAGTCGTGAGCCAAAACTTGGTTAGTTCTTCCCCTGTGGATCAGACAGAGACAGAGGGAGGGCGTTGGAGGGAGTCCCTGAAAGCCTTGCTGATGAGCAAAGCTTCCTTCATTTTAAAGCACAAGGAAGGAAGGAAGGATGATCTAGAGGAGCTGAGGGAGCAGCATAGAGAAGAGCCAGGGCTATGCACCTCCCTGGCTTGCAGCACCTGAGCTGCAGCTCTGCTGTTGGCTTGTCTTCCAGAGCAGTGTCTAAGAAAGTAGTTTTTTGTGCCTCACCAGTGCTTACGCAGTCCACCAGCTCTGTGCTAGTATCCCGCTGGGGAGATCACCAGTGGCGGACCGAGAACGGGCCAAGAGAGTGCCCCATGCCCACCTGCCAGTCCTTGGATGAAGGCCCGAAAGCGCCACATGCCCCGGCTCCCGCTAATGCACTTTTCGAGCAGCCACTGGTCAGCGCTCTGCCAGTTCAGCAGTTTTGCTGTCGGAGAGAGAGAGTGCAGAGCAAGGCGTCACAGGGGTGCATGCGTGCAGGGACAGCCCCTGAGAAAGTCCCCCAGCCCCATCAGCATCCTCCAGTGCCCCTCTGACACAGCCTGCCATAGGGAGCAGCGCTACAAGCCAGGAGCCCAGCAAATCATGTGGAAATGGGAGTTTTGGACAGGGTTGTGGTTACAAGATGAGGTGGGACCCGCTCATGTCCACGATAACCTGCCCAGCTACTCCTTCCTGCCTCTCCCCCTTGCAAATTTCCATCTTTTGCCTGCGCTTGGGACTTCCCCTCAGACTCCTTCATCATGATGTTACACCCAGCTGGAGGAGAAGCAGCAATGTATTCAGAAAAAGCACTGGAGCAAGCCTTTGGGTCTTGATAAATTGCTTCTTTTCCTGAAATGACTCACTGAGTCTAAGTCTTTGCTTAACATTGTAACTTAGGGGGCAGCTGTAACTATGCTTACTTGCGTTGCAGCAATGACGTTTAGGGGTAAGTCTCTGAGCACGATTCAGGTTTTCTGTCCATAGGACAGCCCATGGAGTAGGCCAGCAAATTATTTTACCAGCATAGGGGACACCAGACAAGAGGAGCATAATCCAACGGAGCGCTGAAGCTCTGGGTACCTTGCCTGCCAGTAAACTGGAAATGCCAAAATCCCAGCTTCCCCCCTGTAGATATCCTCTGATAATATCACACTCTAGTTTCTCCGTGTACTGAAAAAACGAGCTGAATTTGGCACGAAATCCTTCTGTACTTTCAAAGAGCTTGGAGGGCACTGCTGTGAGCATGTTGCCGGAGTCTTCCACCAGCCGGTCCCTCTGGCCATACCGCTGGCTGTGCCGCAGCAGAGGCATGAGCTCTGATTTAAGGACTCTGAGGTTATGCCCACAGTGACAGCTCAGTGTGGGTCCAAGCCTGCTCTCCGGACCTGCTTCACCCACAAACTACATGGGAAATCTTGCGGCTGATGTTAAGCAGCTGTTGCAGCTTACCTCCACGGAGGGAGAGAGCCCACACTAATAGCAACAGGGCTAAGGGGTAAAGCCCCATGAGTCCTTCAGCAAGCCTGCCCTAGGAGCTGCTGCGTCCGTAAAAATGGGACCCACGGTGCCTTTTTACTCTCACCCTTTAGAGCCAGCCCCTCTCCGAAGCACGTCTCGGGAGCAGAGCTGCAGCACATGCTTTTGTTTCGTCCCGCTGCGCTCAGCAGGCACCAGACGGCGACAGCCGCGGAGAAAGGAAGTCCCGTGCAGCGGTGAAGCTGCCCCGCGTGCGGCTGCTCTGATTCCCTCAGCGTTGTTATGACTCACCTGCTTCCTCCGACCGAATGAAACTGAGAAGCTTCTGGCAGAGGACAAAGTGGAGGCACAAGCTGGATTTGCAGAAATGAGGCAGCCGGTGCTTTTCCAACCAAGTCAGTAAACCCGGGAGGCTGGGATCCTGCGTTGCACCCGCACCCCGAGGAAAGGAGGAGGCTGTGAGAAAGGAGCCATCTCTTGCCTAAGGATTAGGGGGTGAGTAACGGGCCCATGGCATGGCGGGGGCGCGGGGAGGAGGCAGGCGAGGAGCCCTGTTGCTAAACAGTAGTGCAGGACATCCCCTGCGCTGGAGACAGATGGGACATCTGAGCTATCGCTTCTGCCCGGGTCTCCGTGAGCCTGATGCCAGCTCTGCCGGGAAACCTGCTGCCTGTTAGACCTGGGATTGCAGGTTTCCCTATAGGGCTGCTTTTCAGTGCAGCCTGCCTCTTTCCGGGAAGCCCAGGCAGGAGGGAATGGCAGCTTTCGGACGGTGAGGAGAGATGCAGGGTCCCTTTTGCTAGGGGGTGTGAGCGCAGCAAGCCATGCCTGTGGCCATAGGAAAGAGGGACGCCCGGGAGGGGGCTAAGCCAGTCTGAAGGTTGATAGGACTTTGCTTCTCAGGAGTTAAGGGGAACCCTGGACGTAAGGGGCCTCCTCCCCTGCTGCCGCACACGTGCACTCCTTGAGCGCCAGCTATCGATATCTACTGAGTACTGGACTGACCCTGTAGGCTGCCCACACGCCAGGGCTTTAAATTGCTTCTGCTCCTCCTGGAGCTCAGAAGGAATGTGATGCTTGGGTTTGAAATAATCTCCTGGTTGCACACGGGAGAGAGACAGAGTCACTTTGGCAGTGAGAAACTGGCTTTTTGTCTCTCAGCTTCCCTGCCTCGTGCCCTTTCCTGCCTCCTTCCTCACCCCTCCTCTCTCCCTGCAGGATCCCTGCATCATGGAGTGGGGGGAATGTCTTCTTACCAGGTGGCTTGGTAGCTCTGGCCAGAGGTCCCACTGGCCAGTGCTGCTGATGTAAATGGGTGTCTGGCCAAAAATCTGTATCGAAAGAAAAGGGGAGAGCTGAAAGAGACGAAGGTTGGTAGGGAAGCCTAGATCCCAGCTATTCTAATTAGTCCTCCATAAGAAGGGCATCATCTTCCCTTTTAGATCTTTATCTCCACTGCCTCTTCCAAGCTGAGAACTTCAGATTTTCCTGGTTCACCAGCCTGGAAGTGGTGCATTCCCAAATTTCCTGGGGCCTCTAACACCACAGAAGCCTGAAAATTCACCTGAGAAAGGCTTGGAAAGACCCTAGGCTTTATGGTAAGGAGTGAACTTACGGGAAGGTTCAGAAAGGTGTTGAAAAAGTCGACAAAAACATCATCTTGCAGCAGAACCCCCATATTCGTAGAGGCTATGGTTGCTAGGGGAGGAAGAGAAAATTACCTGGGGTTTGTTGCCAGGCATGACATAAATGTGAACCATAGGAAGAGTTTTGAGAAGCTGGAACAGCTGTAGGGGATATGTGGTATGGGCTTGCCCTGTGCACACATGGGAGGATTTGGTTTTGAGGCAGACCCTGAAATGCTTTAGCTCAGACTGCATCACCTCCAGGCTTTACTCCACTGTAAGCCAGAGGGTGCCCAACAGGATTATTACAAAATGTAAAGCTGTTCTCTCAGAAAAACGTCAGTGAGACAGGAGAAAGAAGGCACTGCGGCTGGGAGGAGAGGAGCTGTGCTCCTCCATCCTTTCCCGGACCCTAGGAGCAACCCTGCTAGTGAGGCGAGGAAACGGTTGTTGTGCTTTCATGTAGCTACTCCAGCCTCTCTGCCTTGGTGTGCCGATGCCGTGAGGGCTCTTCTTCAGGTGGTAGTAAGTTCCTAGAAATCACCAGCCATCATTAAGCTGGAGGTAGGTTGTGGCTCCGGTTAGTGACAGGGACTCACTGCAGACACTCTTGTACCCCGGATGTCAAAGCCAGGGTTAGTAGTACCCAAGACTTCTCGCTATCCTGTGAAGTTTTATTCACTTCTGAGTGACTGCATATGAGGGGGGGTGGATTGGCATGCAAAAGCTGCAGCCTACTGATGGAAGGATGCCCTTGAAAATGTCCACCTTGGTGAAAGCACAGAGCACAGCTGTGTCATGGACAGGTTTCTGAATCCTAGGACTTGACTTTTCCCTGCTGGGATGGGCTTGGAGAAGCCGAAGCCTCCAGGAAAGGTAACTCACCGGTGGCTGTCATGTTGCCGTGCCCAGGAGACGTGGTGCTGCAGAGCGTGTTCTAGAGCACGGTGCTGTTTTGTGACATGCTTGCCCCACTGCTGCTGAGCTCCGTGGAGACGCAGGGTCCCATCCCCTTCCTCTCTGAATCTCACGCTTTGCTGTCCTCCAGGTGGGTTCTCAATGAAATGTCTCTTCTCTAATTACCAGGCCTGTGAGCACACTCAGACAGTCCCCAAATGAAACCTCTCCTCCAGCACGTAGTGATTTGGGCAACCTTCTTGGCCTTCTAATTAGGTTCTTAGTAACCAGAACCTGATTTGGTATGGTGCCTGGTTGCTGTTGGTGTGTTTGCTCAGGTGGTGACTGAAGTTTCTCAGGATACCCTGCTAAGTGTGCCCTGGGCAACACAAACCTCAGCTCCCTCTTCAGCTGTCCTGGTTCAGCTGAGTCTGGGACCAAGAGACCTAACCTTAGGGACTCCAGCA